AGTGACACGGCAAGAGTGACGAGAAACGCCGTGTGCTTCGGAACGAAGCCTTTTGCACGTGCTGCCTCAAGTTGGTGCGACGTGGGGGGGCGGAGGCGTGTTGATTTGATTTGCTCCTTATGAGAGCGGCGGAAGTGATGAGAGCGCGGTTTCCCACACCCGGTGTAGACGAGAGTCTTTCGCTGCGGCGGGACGGACTGAACTGGTTTCCGTGCTCATGGCGGCGTGAGCCGGGAAGACGTTGGGGAGTAACTTGTCGGAGCCGAGGTGGGGATTCATCGGTCGCGCTGAGGGGATTCAGATAATATTTGTGGGCGGGGGCGGCTTTTGGGAGGGGGGAAGGAGTACTAGCGGCTTCCGCGGGTGGTGGGGTGCTGCGGTGCCCTTCTTGAACCTGCCTGTGATTGGGTGCCGGGGGCGGACACCGCGTTTGTTGCTGCGAGTGAACCTTGCTCTCAGTGTTGGTATACGATTGTTGAGTTGAGGTTGTTGCCGGCATACTGTTGTGACTCATGCATTCGTGAAAACGACTGAGGAGAGTGTACGGCGGCAAAGAGACCTTTCTTTCCGCTGTTCGTTTTGTACTGGAATTTCCGTCCAGGAATGTGGCGGAATGTCGTAGACAAGGAGACCTCTCCACACGAAACAACAACCTGGCCCTCGGTGCGGTAGAGGCGGATCGGAATAGACCGTGACTACGGAAGGCGGCAGGGAAGAAACACCAGAGGACTACGTTTCACTCGACACCCGAAGAGATTTCGCCGTCGATGTGACCTTCTATCAAGCCGCCACGTCGCGGGTTCCGTTTGACTGTGTGGGAGGAAGAACGGGGCTCCGTGATTTCTGTCGTGGAGACAGTAGTGTCTCGGAGTCTCCTTTCTTGCGGTGGCAGTACATCATCCTTGGCATCGCATAGAAGTACGTGGTGGAGGGAGGCGAGGCGAGGCCTTTTCGTTTTCTTTTTTTTCTGTTCTCCTTGCCGCTACACTGTTAGCGGCAGCAGAAAAAAGTACCTTGGTCTCACGTCGTCTGTCTGTCCGTGCCTTGCTCTCTGGTGGTGGCCAGTCGAAGACGCGAGGAGGAAGCATATTTTACTACTTACCAGTAGTTTTTTTGTGACGAATGGCATGTTTCGTGTTTCGTGCCGCACAGCGAGAGAAAGTGCCCCTGCTGCTTCTTGTTCTGGTCCCCCCCAGCGGGCGGAGAGAGTCCGTACCTGCTCATACGACGTACACTGCTTATGAAAACACGTCTCGTTCGCCGCAACAGACGGATCTTCTAGCTGGCTCTTGTTGAGAGACAGTGGTTGATGTGTTGTTTTTTTGTCCCGGCAGGGCAGGTGGTGCCGTGCATTATTTTTCGTCCGCCCGCGTGATTTCTTCGTGTGTACCAAGGGTTGATAGTGATTTATTAGTAGGTGTCTTGGTCTCCTGCTGCGAGTGACGTGAATGCCAAGGCACAGAGACGAAGTACCTTTGTTTTTCTCTGGAGGAAGGAAACCTTCATGATCTGCCTGCTGTTCACTCTCGATTGGGAATGTTTGTTGCTCATTTTCTTTTCCTGTTTGTGTTCTGTTTTTTGGCTTTCATGTTTGTTTGCTTACAATACACTTGGATTGACTGCTGCTTTATGCTGCTGCGTGCCTTCATGTTGTCACGATTGGTGTCGTTTGTTTTTTTTTCGTTTGGTTCCACACGCGGGGAACGAACCGGTACCTCCTGTCGTATGTATGCATACATGACGTGGCTTCCCCCCCCCCCCCCC